TTTTTTGTTGCTATTATTTCTAGAAACTATTAAAAATATCAGGAATCCATAAAAATCCTGTAAAGGTATTTGTGTGCTGAAATCTTTCATTTTAAACAGTGCAATAATACTGAAAATTTTGTGTTGGTATGGAATGAGTGCGACTTAGACATTCCGGTTTTATGTCACAAATTTTACTAAGGGAACAATTCAAATTAAACAAATGATTAGGATTTTTAAATTTATCTCAGAAATGACTTTTTTTGCCTTTTTTTTAGGTATTCTTGTAGTGCCTCTATTTATTTTATCATCAAGACTTTACAGTAAAATTGGAAGTGGACCTCAGCAATGCCCTAAATTTGGAGAGAAATTATAACCATGGCATTAGAAAACAGATCACATCTCTAACTGAGTAAAGATGCAGAGCGTATTGCTCCTCGGCACTCTCTACCTGTTAAACTTTCAAGAGAAAGATCTACTTTGAGATAGAACCAGAAAGAAAATGAATGTTTTTTGACTAACTGATAATGCTGAAATTTTCTTTGTCAAAATGAAATTCTGGATATGTTTTTTTTTTCTGGGAAGCTACATTGAGAGCCTAAAAAGTGTTTTGTAACATAGCCATACTCCATTACATGTGAAGAAGTTATTTGCTTGACTTCAACTGAGCTGCATTTAGCTTTCCTAAAATGATAGGCTTCAAAAATGGCACTGCTCGTGTGCAAGGGGCTAGTCAAATAACATTCCTGAGGTACTTCCGATACTTAAGAAAAATATCTCTTGACAGGCCTGAAAACCGGCATCTTCTGGCAGTGCCTATTCAGTGAACTGAGAACTATGCAAATGTTGATCATTAAGCATTACTTCCCTGCTCCTTCACTGCGCCTCTGGAAGGAAATCAGTCTTTATATTTGCTAAGCTCCTTTTATCCTAGGCCCTTTGAAATTATCAAAGGAGCTAGTTAGTCAAAAACACTAGCCCGGAAAATGAGAGCTCCTGATTTTACTGCTTTATCTCCCATAATGCGGTATTTAGTCTTGTGAATCCTCTGGCAAAGCTTATTCAGGCACGAGTTCATTTATTGTTGTTTATTTGTTTGTTTGTTTTAATAGAAAACAGCTAAGAAAAAGAAAGAGTTTAAGTAACCTGCACCTTAAAGCCACAAATGCAAGCACAGGGATACCACGTGCCCTGAGCTCCCACTCTTGTGCCCAGTGCATCAGACCACGGCGCTACTTTGGGTCCTCGAAGACAGAACCAAAGGGCTAGTCTAAATCAACTTTAGCTAAGCTAAAGCCCATCAAAGTTCGCAGATGATTCTTTTGTCTTTACTCTCTTATCTATATGTTTGGAAATATACTTATTTAGCTCTGTCTCAAAGAATGATTCTTCATTGTAGGCCTCAAGGAAAACCAAAAAATACAGGCAACTGTTGCACAACCAAGATTATATAAAATAAAATAATGAAACGAAATCCTTAAGTGAAGTGATTTAGGTTTTTTTTTGTGTGTGTGTAAAACCATTTCCAATATCAACTTTCCCCTTTTTATGCCAGCTGGTAGTTTCTACTGGTCTTTCTGGAAGACCTCTAAACAAATCCCTGATGACTTGCTCCTGATCTGGGCCAATGACAAAATCAGCTTTCTGAGACACTGTGGTCCCTGCACTTCCATGACACAATGACTACCCTGTTATATTTTCTCATGAGGAAGCGAGGTCACCGAAGACTCACACACTGCTAAACACAAATTCCTGTTACCATAGAGTAAGGCAGAACAGGAGCAACCTCAGCCCCCACACAACTGGACAGCAAAAGGCCTGAACACCCCTGTCTCCACCAGACTTATGGATATACCCCCATAGGGAGCCACGTGGCAAGGGCAAGCCCATAGCATGGGTCGTCAGCCCAGGAAAGCAGTTCCTCTACATCCAACGGAGAGGGGACGAAGAGAGAGAGGAGCCGCAGGACTGCACCAGGCATGCAAATATCAGCACTACAGCAGCAGAACAACAAAAACAGAGCAAATAGAAGCGGGAAAAAAGGGGAGGGGAACATTAAAGCCACCTCATCAGTCAGTAAATCCATAACCAATCAATAAACATGAAAAATCAAACATTAAAAACCTGGAGCCTTGCCTGCACAAGACTGGAGCGAAGCTTGAATTAGTGTTAGCACCTCCAGAGAGCCCTCACAGAACATTTCAACCACTCTGCACCTAGAAACCTCCCATTTAAACCTTTTCCGAGCAATTCAGACCAACTCGGTACTGACAGCAGCTGCAGCCCCGGGGCTCCTGCTTTCCAAAGGCTGCTGCCACTGCTCAGGGCGGCCACGCTGCCTGGGAGACAGCAGGGTGCGGGTCTCTTCCCATTGCCCACCGGGAGGGAGCGCAGGCTCCTGTGCAGGCCCAGAAATGCAAAGCAGCAGCCTGTAGAAAAACAAAATCATGTAGTAAAAGGCAGAAGGAGAACACACAGCTGCCAGGAGGGGGGAAAAAAAAGTGGGGGGTGACAGCAACCAGGTAAACTGACAAAGGAGGAGGAAAGAGGAGCTGTTAGCAGGCTGAGAACATTTATCATTAAAAAATACACTGTTCTTCCCAGTGTGTATGGATAGGGAACTCGTTTATTGTGCAGGTGCAGCTTATCTCTGTAGCTCAGAGAACAGTATAGATCAGCTCTCTGCTGTCATCTTGACTGACAGACAGATGCTGCTGTGGCAGAGCGACAGCTGAAAAGCTGCAATGATTGGTTCCAATAGTGTCTTGCCCCATTTCAACTAATGAGAAGCTTGTGCTCATTCCACTTTTATTGAAGTGATTTCTTCTAATTGGCTATTTAATGCCTTAAAAAAAATACCAGGAGATACAGGTCAGCGCTCCAGTAAGCTGAGATTTGGGCAGTGTTTTCCAGATACAAATGAAGATTTGCTTATGCTCAACACAAAGGCTGCGGAGCAAAATTAACGATCTTATCAGGTAAAGCAGGTGTTGTGGTCACACCATCAAGGTCACTAGCATTAACAGAACACTCTGAAAACAGAATAGTGGCATGTTCCCAGCAATGTGCTGGAGTGGGGTAGAGATAGTGTGCTCAGCCTCAAGGGGAAAAAAATATGATGCGCTAACACTCACTAACAGCTGTTAATGGCAGAGTATCATGGACAAGGAGAAGCATGTTTGACCTCCTAGTCCTTTGGAGGGAGATGTAAACAACTGGCTAGATCCCCCACCGCCTTGCCCCCTGCTATGGCCTTCTATACTTGTGCCAAGTAAATGCAGCATATATGTTAAACGCTATCACATCAACAGAGTTGAGCATTACCACCACTTGCACAGGTGTAAAAGTCTGCAGAAAGTGCAAGGTACAGGATAATCAGAGTTTATAAGTGTAGGACAAGGGGCTTATGCCAGAATTAAGTGACAGATAGAGAAATGTAGCTACAGTGAGTAAATGAAAACAGTATTTTTTAAAGTCAACCGAACTGGAGCAGGAGTGTTGTTGGTCACAACTATTTGCTTCCATGACAAAAATACGTTTTTATTACTTCTTCCTGGGAGCACAGCAGAGCCATCCTATCCAGAAAAAAGATGACAGAACTCTTTCCTGCCTCAGCAGACCAAATTACTTTTAAGACCAGCTGTGCAGTCCACTTCTGCCTTACTTACACCTACAGAACAGCCTCCCAGCCCATCTCACTTGGCCGTGCAATGACGCGTCATTATTAGGAGCTCAACGCACACCACCACTGCTAACATGGGAGCTGAAACACCCTTAGCCCAACTCCCCTCCATTAGCAAATCCACATCTGCCATAAAGACTTACTGAAGATAGTAGTATTTCACTCACCAGAACGTACCTAGCTTTTATTACCTATTATGGTGCTTGAGCAATAAAGAACAGTTTGTCCTGCCAATCTCAATGTGAAAAGAAGATCAAAAACTATTCGTCTGCACAGAGTATAATGACCCGGAAGTTGTTGCATACAGGTCTTTACAGGTGTTCTGAAGGGTGCATGTGGCCTACAAACACCTTTGGTAGCCACAATAGATTATTTCTGAAGACAGTGAGTCATTGAGAAACTTGTCACTTCAAAAAGCCTTTGAGCAAACAAGGCTGAAATTCTTCAGTGCTCCTTCAGAGATGTCAGAGAAACTATCTCACATGGGCCAGACTGGGCCATCTACAAGACCAACATGGTGTGCATCTTTTTCTGAAGCCTGAGGCACCGCCTCGATACAGCTCATAGATTTAACATTCAGCTGAAATTCTTTTTAAATAAAAACAAACACAAACCCAGAGCGTGACAGTTTGTGCCATCTGCATGGAAAATGAGCTTGAGTTTTAACAGCATCAGTTATATCATTATTAAAAAACATTTTTATATTCAAATCCATTTACTGATTATAAACCCTTTGACAAAAGAGCTAGCGGCATGTGTGCACGCACCTGCTGCCTTTGCGTGTTCCAGTCCATTTCGCGCCTGTGGTGTTCTGCATCGACGCGGACACTAATATGTTGGGAAGCTTTCCCCAATCTTTTTTTCTTACACAGTAGTAGAGCAAAGTCTGCTCAAAACCCCCCAAATACTTGGCACAGTGAAGGCAATTCTGTTACCACAGAATCTTAAAAGAAGATACACAAGTACTGGAAAGGAATAATATTACAAGGTGGGCTACTATTTTAGTGAAATAAGAGATGCATTTTGATAGCACTCTCTGGGTCTGCACAAGGTTGATTTTATCACTGTGCAGCAGGTCAAGACTTCATTATGCGCACTCAGATCCCGCTGAAGACTCACCCTCTCCTCAGTTGCACAGCAAACAGTTCAGACTACTAGAATTTCTACTTCTATAAACTTTATACACATTTTCTTCATCTTACTTTAAAACTGCAGCCCTAGCTCCTCACCCACTGAGCCATTTGCAATTCCTTTACCACCTTTGAGAAGGACACTATAAAATCAGAGGGCAGAATCTGCACTGTGGCTTCATTACAGAATAATCTAGAACAAAAAAATATGAGTAGTAGGATGATTTGTATTTAATCAAGAGTTCATACAGTACACAGCAGTTTTTTTTTTAAATGCTTCTATTTATCTATGTTTGACAGATCCTCCTTCACTCAGTAGCTGCATTCCTTGTTTGATGTATTAGAGGCCAAAGCAAGAGCTCTTTCCATCAACAGCTCCACAGACTTCAAAGACATGAGGTGTATAGGATTATCTAACTGCTCAACAGGATTCCGGTTTGCAAACTAGTTGTAATAGCCACACGTGCTTGACAGTCCAGTATCAAAGCAAAATGTGACGGCTTTCCTCTGCTCGGGCGCGGAGTTCTCCTTCGGCAGCCAGGCCATGCTTCCGTGCTCGGGTATGAAGGGGCAGCTGCGGCAGTGGAGTAACACGTCCTGCTCAGCTCCTACAGAGCTGCCGCTTCACTGAATCCAGGCTCCAGAGTGAAACAATTTAGGTAAGGATGAAGATTGCTGCAAGCACTTTTTAACAGTTTATATAGCAGGAAGAGTTTTATGCACAGTGAAAGCCAAATGCTGTAGACTAGTGAAGAAACCTTCCAAAACATAGGAGTCCCTGTTCCTTTTTCGCCTGTGTTTTGGCCATGTGTTTCTTCGGACCCGTAGACCCCAAAAATTGCACATGAGAAACAGCTTTTGGAGGAAATACATCAGTAGAAACACTACACATGTCTACCTTGGAATCCCACTTGGGATGACTAGAGAAAGATAAATAACACACACACCTCTTACTACAATTTTATTTGTGCAAGATCTCAACTTTTTTTCTCTAATCAGAAGACGACTAGTAGTGAATGTAAGATGGTAGCTTAATGTTTTTAGCTCTTTGAGAAAGAGTCCCAGGGAAAGCAGCACTGAGCTGTAACCATTCTATTCATGCTATGCATAATAGGTTAAAAAAAGAAGCGGTTATAATTTTGCTATAGCTGACTCAAGCTGGATCTGAATCCAGGATCTGAAGGCAAATTAGATTTTAACATCCACATTAAAAAAGTAATTCAGCTTATGAACTGGATCATCTTTGATGCTTTGCTAAAAAATTTAGTTGAATTTTGTATGATGAAAAGACTCCTGTTAAGCAGCAAAGGAGATACAATTATCAAATCAATCTTAATTAGATCACAGACTTAATTTTAGGATCCCAAAAGGAATATTGAAAGCTTGGTCCAGTTAAACTGACCTCGGTCAAGAATGTTATCCATCAAGATAAACGTGTTACCAGTACTTTGGTACAACAGATGCTCAGTGAGGGACTACGAGAGAGCAAATGACTTTTCTACCGTCTGTAATTTTTAAACAGTTATTAAACTGCACTATAGTTTATGCTGTTATCTTTGAGGGGAAAAAGTGTAGGACATGAAAAACAATTATCACAGAACACATAAGCACAATTTTTGAAGCACTAGTTTCTTCAAAATTAAAAACATCTGACAACAAAGGCTCTTTCTGAGGAGAGTCACTTTGTAACCAATTCTAGTCTTTAAATAGCTATTTTAAAAAAAAAAATTGTCAGCTACATAAATTGTTTTTCCTTCAGATTCCAAATCCTCTCAAGCCAGGTTGATTGAAATGTTGCATAAGAAAAAAAAGCAATCTAATCACCCCTTATAAAAAAGTGAAAACAGCAACTCAATTTTTAAAGCATCATGAACAAAGCTCTATAGCCCATCTATCATTCACATATGGATTCATGTAATGATTCTTCAATTAGAATTATTATCTATACAGCAGCTGAAGACTGAGAACTGCTGATACACTGCAGATGAGAACATTTGCTAGTCTCTGGGCTCCAGCCTTTCTCAAAAAATGATGATCGCACAATATAGATTGCTCGGTTTATATGTGTATTAAGCTGCAATGCCAGCATTTACATTTGCAACATTACAATTTTGCTTTCTTAGGCTCAAGAGAATTTGCTGCATCTGGTAGATTTTATTTGCTTTGTATCTTAGGCAATTGTTTCAAACAAAGCGCGAATAAGCAATATTATTGCTCAAATAGTCCTCAGTTGTATTTGTTATCTTAGATGCTACAAAAGAGGTAAACTAAGAGTGGGTCTTTGACATGGGTCATTCACTGTCAGTTTGCTTGCACTGTGTCCCAGTGCCATCTACTCCATTTCTTTCACCTATATAGATCCACACAGTAGAAGATACAATATCAGATGGGAGGGAAAGAAAAGCCACTTATGGAACAGTTACAGACATTGTAGGGGATGAAATTCACTTTGGCAATTCAAACTGCAGCAGTCCGAGAGGTTCCTGCCTACCCATGTACCCTGCCCCGCGGGCAAAGGTTACTATCCTCATCTCTCTGGAAGCAGAACAGGCAGCACATGCTTGCTCTATAGCCCCTATTGTTTCAGGGCTTTCCCTTTCCTGCTTCATTGCTGATAACCACATGCAGCAACCTAGATTACAGAAGACAGACTGACAGCTGCATAGATACTATCTGTGAGATAGCCTTACTAAGTGGGCATCCGTTTATGGTGTTTCTACTATGTATTCCTGCTACATGAGTGTGTGTGCTGAACCTCAGGTTGTCATCCTAAATGTCTCACTAGTAATATGGATGCTGGAGGTAACAGGTTGGTTCTAGCAGGTTTTGGAGTTATCCAGAAGCCTTCAGTGACAGGTGACTATACAGAAGTGTAAAACAGGGCTGCACAATTAATTTTTAGGTTCAAGAGCTTCTTACCTCACTGTACAATCTTAGAAAGATCTTCACAGAAGGCAACTACTGTTAATATATTTGTTTTACTCCGCTTATTTTCACAGAACTATCCCATGCTGTTACCATCGTTCATCAACGCTACTTTTAGTGGGTGAGGCCTGCCACAGCCATGAAGTCTCCCAATATCTGTTATACAAAAGAAGTACAAAAACCCTGCTAATAGTTCTGTGTTTCAGTATTAGTTTCAATATTATTTCACTGCTTTATTATAGACATTGGTGAAAAGAGAGTAAGTGCATTATATTATTCCTTTAAAAATACTCTGTTTATCTACCAAATCTCCTTTTTCAAATATGTGTTGTAAATAACCAATTCTTCTCCACTTACTTTAAGGTAAACTGCAGTTTGAATTACTTATATAAAATTTCAAATTGTCTGCTTATAACGATGTTATACAATGCCTTTGTGTCTAAAACTTTAATATTAAGACCTAACAAATACAGGTCACAAAGCAAGCAAACAACACTGGGAACTGATACAACAGTTTACCAAAGTAATGTCACAAATGTTTAGTTCAAGAGTCTATACAGCATGATGGGACACACTTCTAAAAATATTTTAAATTGCTCCACCTCAGTTGGCAACACTGAGATTTGTGAAGTGCTTTAATGACATACATAGACCCCAAAATATTTTGATTTTCTTTGTAACCAAAATCATTACCTTTAAACCTTTTCTTTAAATTAAAAATCATTTTAAAGGTTGGATTCAGAATAAAACACATTTTTTCTCCAAATACTTGTTTAGAAAGAGTTGTTGAATTTTTCATCTTTGACTTGAATTTGGAAATATTTTGAAGACAGGAAAATCACTACCTGAGAAAACATGTCAATCTAGAGCTGGAGTGAGTGACTTGCATCAGATAATTTATTAGAAGAACATAAAAGGTAGGGATTTTTTCCTCTCGGAAAGGCCATCTGCTGTTTTCTTTCTGTTCAGTTTTAGGATATTGTTCCTCAAACCCTTACTCTAGCTGCTATCATTCACCTCTCTAGAACTATTATTATGAGATTTTAAAATTTGCATTCCATGACTTATCATCTAAATCAATAACTTCTGCTCATCCAGGCATGGATCAGCAATATCCAAAAACAGGAAGAAAGGTATCAGTAAGGCCGTGTGGTTTTTCACTGGCTGCTCCAATATACAGAATGCAGAAGCAGTGGGATGCAAAGTTTCGGCTCCCAAGCCTGTGGGAGAGCTTTACTGAGTGGCAGAACTTAAGTACAGCATGCTCTCAACAGTAAAAAAAGCAAAAATTTATGTCTGCTTACAACCACAAGGACTCAGTGGTCAAGTTAGATTACATTTCTCCTAGGATATATTTGTATAGCAAATAAGTGTGACTGTAGTCCTGGTAGCCATACCTTCATAAGCTTTAATTAATGTGTACCAGAAACAATGTAGAAGTAGCAGCCTCAATTTAAGCTTAAGATACAACGGACTGTTTCTACGTAAGAGCACCCTCGTGACGATTAGCGCACTATTAACTTCCACCGATTAACACCATATTTTATATCAATTAATTGAACAAACTGGGGAGACAATCCTCTCAAAAGCATCACTACTTTGATTAAGCAATTTACAGAGGGCTCCTGTAACACCAAACAAAGCAACTAGAACATTCTGTGCAGTCAGAACTGATTAACTGCGGTATCCCAAGTGTTAATACATCACAGCTAAAGAAAAATGTCTTTGAACATTATTAGGCTCACTTTGGCCAGTAAATGACATCAAAACTACACACAATGTAGTAATTGCATGTAAGAACAATTAGCTAAAAGTTCTGAAACCTACAGCAATGTCACTGCAGTGATATGGAACCTTTGTTCAAGGAACTGTCTCTAAATCTATTGTTAGCTTAATGAATTCACATCAGTAACTGAACACAGCTACGGAAGCTGCAGTGCCAATGACAGGAGACAGCCGAGAAGTAGAAGTCAATACATTTTAAAAACAACAGACTAAAAAATGCCAAGACACTCTCATGTCTCACTGGCTCTTGAGATGGCTGGAGTCATCCCACAGACATTCCTCCCTCTCAGTGAATTTCCTGCTCTCATTCAAGAGCAGTTACCAAAGAAGAGAAGAAATTGATTAAAAAAAAGGGGGGGGGAGGGGGAAGAGGGCTCCCTCTTCACTCCACACTTCACAGCCCCTTGCTTTTATAACTGTACTCCCTGAAAAAATTCCTCCCTGCAAATATTTCCAGGAGCTGAGAACTGACAGGTACGAGGCACTCTAGACTCTTCTTTGCCATGGAGAGTTGCTTTGTTCAAGGCAGTTCATAGCCAAAAACGTGCCCAAAAGTAGTAGTTCTAATTCTAACACGGTGTGAGGCCCTGAAAAGACTATTGTTCCAACTCTATCATTTCTTCATGCAGTTTTCTCATTGTATTTAATAAGCTCTATCCCAAAACTTTTACATAAATCTCTGAAGAGAAGTGAAAAGTGGCAAGTATGCTGAGGAGAAACAATTAATAGACATTTAAGAAGCAGTGACACATTGCTTGCTGGATATATTCCTATACTTGAAAGGCCTGCAATCATTAGCACAGAAAATCTTGTTAGTCAAGAACATAGGAATAAGCATTCTGTGATTTGCCAAACACAAAGGTCACATTCACCCTCAGATCGAAAGGCCAGGTCAACAGCTTTATGAACGTAAGCTTTACTTTGGCAGACGTTAAGTACGTTTAAGTGGTGCAAAAAGCTTGTGACTGGCCCTCTATCTCAGACAGAATATCACCTAACGTTCTCTTTAAAACTGAATTTCACCTGATTTTTTTTTCCTTCCCCTTAGAAGAGGGATAAGTTGTTTTCTGCACTGCAGATTCAGAAGGCTAGCCCAGAGTACAAACGTGACATACTTCAGACAAAAGCGTATCTTCCTGTGTTACAAAATCTGTATCTTCTAGTCTTCAAGTTGTTCTGTGCCTGTATTAGAATTACTTATTTCATCCACACCTTTTTCTTTCTTTACTTCTTTTCTAGAAGTCTTCAAACACTTGTCAAGTCTTTTTAGGAATACGTCTACATCTTGTTTTTTAATTCCAATTGCTGACGCAGCGTTGAGGTAAGCACAGGGATAGTCATTTGTATGCGACATAAAGCCTTTGAAAGTGTAGTTATTCACTGTTTGCACAGACCCACAGGGAACCACCCTGAAACACACAAAATTGTGATTCAGTTAAAGATGCCTTGGATATTTTTATGTGATACCCTATAATGAACATATTTACAAAAGTTCCTATACAGTGCAATATCGACTAGCTCTAAACAACTTCATGTAAGCAGGCTTAGATCACGCATTCTCCCTGCTAGTGCTCAGGTACCACTATTAGCGACAGTAGCAGCAGATCCTAAATTAACTCTAGTCTGTATGCAAAGGCACATGTCCCTTCCCCTCTTCATTTAAATTTATAAGAACTCCACTACTTCTATTTATGAACTCCCTAACATGGTAGAAGACACATCTACAGCAAACTTCTATTCCATAGCAAGGCCTAAATATTTGACCTGCTCTGTTTCCAACCTAAGTTGGTTCACCCCTCCTCAGGCAACCTGAGCTCCCCAGACGCTAGCCTTCAAGCAGATACTTGCCTAGCACAGCACATTGCAGCCCAGAATACCTGGGCTCAACTGATCCAGAGGGCTCAGCCTCCCAAGAAGCTGAAACTACAAGCGTGCGTCGCCACTAACCCATCCTTCTACCACATTTCTTAATTTCCCAAACCAGGTCCCTAATCTCTCACTGCTTCTACCCTCCTCTTGCAGGCTACCTCCTCAAATCAGGATCCCAGCTACCTCCTATCCATCCCTCTGTACTGCATCTTCCTTTTCCCCATCATATGATGCTAGCCCCATATTTATTTCCTCCTTGCAGTGGATATTTGTCATCACTGCTTTTACCTTTTCCTCAGCCTTTACATCCTATTTCTCAGCACTTTCAGTACATATCCATTTCCTAATAAGTCCACATCTTTACTTGTTAAAGCAGCAGCTCACCTTAGGGCTACAGTTAAAGCCTACACAAGCACTCACAACCAATCAACTGATCCGAATTTATTACCTCTACAGAGATATTCCCTGCAGTTCATATAAGAAACTGCATTTGGGCAAATACCACTAGAACCGGCAGATCTTCCCTGTATGGAAGGGCTCAAAACCACAGGTTATGCAAAAGCCCATATGCAAGTGAAGTAGGGAATTGTTATTAATAACAGTGACATTCAGCATAGGCATAACATTTAAAACCTGCTGATATACCAGGTGAAACAGTATATATACACTATAGTTAAAGAACCACTTGCTTACACAAAAATAGGAAAAACAAGCCTTTGAAATAAAACAACACCAGAAGGGTGCAACTTTTCAAAAATGTAATCTTTTGAATCATTTCAAAGATGACTGAAATTGCAGGACAAGCCAAGGTTAGGACAGGCAAATTAAAAAGAGCATCTAACTACAGTATATATAGATTTACTGTCATTCATCTGTGCAGGAAGTGGAATAACCCAAGCTAATGAAGCATATCTTCTGATGTGGAAACATTCTGCTCTGCCACAGAAAATGACATTAACTCTATGGCAAAAGCTAGCATGGCAGCAGTAATATTCAGATGAAGGAATTCTGCCAAAACAAATTTTAAATCATTCTCTTCTTCTAAAAGGTGGAAATCAAAATCATTAAAAATGATTTGGCTTGTATTTCCATGCAAGAATAAATTCAGCTCAGACAGGCTTAGGTTGTAGATTTTTTTTTTTTTAGCTCAGTTAGTTCCAGAAAGCAGGATTTTCTTTCGTATGACAAAAGCAATGCAGGGTATTAAAAACTTATTCCCCTGATATCCAGTACAACCATATTTATGCTGCATAAACAGAACAAAAATAAACATCCTCCGTAAGTAGCTTGCAACTTAACCATAAGATCAGACAACAACTGGAAGCTAACTGAAGCTGAAGGGTTTTAGGGAATAATAACACTAAGTTATATGGGGAGAGACTACCTATTTAGGCTACCAAAGCTAAGAAAGAGGGCCTCATCACTGTAGCAGGTATTTAGACATATTATTAGTAGATAACAGTGATGGAGAAGGGTATATTACTCTCTGACTCTTAATTGCTAGACTGAAATATGTAATGAGACACTGGGTACAAAACACAAATATTATAGTATATATTTTGTAAAACCCTAATACAAACACCAACATTTTTCAAAGTTTAGAGCGTTCTCACCTTGCTCCAGAAACCTGTCTTGTGAAAAGCATAGATCCCAGCTGGGTAACAGCAGCATCGTTATTTTCATCTAGATTCTTCAGTGACATGGCTAAAGTAACAAAAGGTCAGATTAAAACTATTACGAAGTTTCTCTTTCTCCAAAAGATAACCACAGAGGACAAGCTCTCATCTAACAATAAAAACATGGCCAAGTATTTATGTTCAGACACAATGAAAAGATGAATACTAATATTACGTTTAACTGTTTTCAGTTTTCCCACAATCTATCACCGATTCCTTCTTTGGTTGGATTGTATGTAAGGCAGAGATACTGCACAGAGGAAAAATACTACTTTTTGATGCTCAGCAGAATTTTTGGTTAGAACAAACACCTTGAATAGGATCTTGCTATTTCACGCACATCTCACTATTTCACAGCATTAAAAGATAATGGCTGAAGCAACTATACCACAATTTATTTTTTAAAAAAAATCTATTTATTTATAAAGTATTATGACAGGCTAACATCTTTTGCCTGTCTTGACTACAATAAATGAACATTTTGGACAGGAGCAATTTTTTATAAAAATAAAGAGCCTGGGTCACAACTCTATTAGTCTGCTTTTATAACAAGTAACCTTACTGGGTTCAATGGCTTCATCTTGGCCTAAGAGTGATTTAATGGAGTGTAGCGAACAACGTCTAATATAAGAACTGTATGTGAAAGTGCATTACAAATGCACAGTGTATTAGAATTTTTTTTTAAGTTTAAAAAAAAATAACAACAACGATTACCTAGAGAAATGGGATTATGTGGTGTGTCCAACAGTTTCTCATTGTGGATATCTGCCAACTTTTTCAGCTCACTTGAAAGATAGGAAAACATTTCCTGGGGAAAAAAGGCATTATTTTTGTTATTAGCTATCAAATAGAGAAAACAGTATCAATTTCACAAAACTGCTAAGTCTCCACTACATCCTACAGGTGCCCAAGTGATCTGTTTTTATGTGCACCAAATAACTGGGCCAGACAGTTCTCTGAAATCCCTTTATAAAGAGCGAGCTCCATTTCCTGAACAACACAACTCTTCCCCTCAAGCTGGTCAAAAGCTCTCTGTCTGGTCTAATATATGTGCTCGGAACGTTAGTCATTCTCTCTGCGGCCCTGAAACTTAGGGAGGTAAAGTGTTGAAGAGATTTCCAGTTTTCCCCCTCATGCTAGTACCCTGTTGAATGAGCTGAGCTTCCTTCCCTCGTAGCTCCATAAGACACAGAGAATGAACTATCACAGATGGCCATGTCATGGCAAATTGCTCCTTATATTATTTTAATCTGGACTAGTATTAATAGAGAGAAAGGTAGTGCATTTTGCTACCACTTATACAAATCACAATTACCACCAGTTCATAGACTTCTTTTTCTGTACAAGAACGACAATACAGTCTTAAGAAGGATATGAGCATACATCTGAATGTATTTTGTTTCACACGGTACATTGTCCTGAATGTGCAGCCATATCGTGTAACCAGCCCTCCTCCCTATCCTCTTTCTGGGACTAACCCCTCCTGCTCAAGCCTACTACGCAACAGACTACAGAAATTCAGATAACACTTTTTTAGGTTGTTCCTTTATTGTGGAAAGTGTCATAAAATGGAGACTTAAATATTGGCTAAGGTACAAGTCACATTGCACATAATAGGCTGCTCTCCTTTCTTCATCCCTATTTTATTTCCTTCCCTCTTTCCCAATAATAATCTAGAGTAACTTCTCCTGATCTTCCTTACACATCTATCTTGTCACATCTCAACTCAAAATACCTATGGGCAGAGTGAGAATAAACACCATTCTTCTTAATGTGTTCTTTGGCTCCTCCTCTGTCCTTTCTCATGCTTAGTCTCTTATAAATACTAGCAAAAGATCTAGACGTTGGGTAGCCTTTTTAAGAGATACTAAACTCCAGATCTTTCCTCATTCTAGCCATAAAAGCTGTGCTTCTCATCTATGTCAATGTGATTACCTGTTTCAGCCTCCTGATAATTTCTGGACCTGACAAATGATTTTTCACTCTTTAAATAGAATTGCCTCCTCTGTTTATAGACCAGTATCCTGCTCTTATCTGTACACTGACAGGTACAAATTACGGTTTGTGATCAAAATTATGATCTTGAGCAGCACCTCTCCCCACAAAGGTCATATGAAACCAAATGAGTTTCCTGGGGGCTAGATTTGAAGAATGTTACAGCAGTTTTTCTTTAACTACTGCAGTGAACCCAGTCTCATCTCATGAGAGATCGGATGAACGCAGCTCCTGATCTACCCTTCCTAATACAATAGCATAGATTCAGCCAGAGAGAAGTACCACCATGTTAGTGACATAAATGAATGTGCACTGTCAATAAGAGCACAAAGCTTTTGTAATACTCAGAACAGTAATAAAAAATAATGGGACACATCTATGGTTAATTATCAGGACTATAAATTTGTGACAAATTATTGATATTTTTCAGAGGCTTTGAAATCAAATCAAGTGCTTTTGTGGTTTCAATTCAGCAGGGTTTATTTACAGTACACTCGCAGAAGTTGAAGAATATTTACTCAAATGTTCAGACACTTTTCCCTTCCTTCTGGTTCAACACGGAATATAAACACATTACTCATTTGTTATTTGCTTTGCCACAGTGAGCATTGCTAATGTGTTTAACCATTATATCAGTACTTTTTGGAATCCGATCTGTTAATTAATCTGTGCTCCCTCTGCTGGCTATTTACATCTACAATTGAAGCAAAATACTACAAAACTACACATTAACTGTGTCTACTATAGATATATTTATTGTTGAAATTAGTCCTGAGAAAAACCTATATTCAAACAGTAAGAAATTCTCAAATAATTCATTTGCGTGTGTGTCACACATAGAGACTATACCTACTGTATAAATGTAGAAAATGAAACTGATATTAAATACCTAGGTTACTAGGTCAGCCTTTGCATGCATAGGGATTTAGCAGAACAAGCGAGAACGGAGAGATGGCAAAGAAAATCCAAGGATGCATTTTTATCAGTTTGTCTCAAGCTACCTGAACACAAATTCAAAGCTACTTATTTTTGTAAACTATTTTGCACATTTCCATTGGAAAGCCTCTAGATATTTTGTAAATAGTTTCAGCAGTTAAGCAGTTTGTTGTATAACAGACGAATGGCCTTTCCGAAAAAAGAAAAAAAGGCAATATTTTTGTGAGGTCAAATCTATAACCGACTTCTGTTAAAAAATAGTTGTTATGTGGAAAATTTATAAGCACCTTAAGCAATTATATTCAGTGATCTCTTCTATAATTTATTTTCTGTGGTAGATACTCTAGTTTTCGCAATTGAAGCCAACTATTATGTTAAAGTTGTATTGAACAACCCAGGCGCTAAATGTCAGTTATGTTTTATTTTTTAATTCAATCTTTCCCCTTAGAAACTTTTCACAAAGCCTCAGCAGACTAGTGGAATGGGAAAACGTCCTGTACTTTCTCCTGTTCTTCCAAAGTATTTCTAGCATCTAAAAACAAATAAAACTCTTCAAAAAAAAAAAAAGTCAGTATGCCAAGTGACAACTATTTGGACAAAACGGCCAAAAGTATCAAGAATTATCAAGAAGCTTTGTAACGATTCATTATTAAAGTACTTGAATCGTGCTGTATCTACATTATAAAACTATACAACTTTTGCTTTGTTTTAGAACCTTCAGGCTAAATATGGGTGACTCTTCATTTGTTGCTCCGGGGCAATAGGTCCTGCACAGAGGGATGGTTCTTGTCCCAAATGAAAACAGCTACAGGGAGAAAAGTAAAGGAAGGGCCAATAACTCCAGCGAAAAATCACAAGGGGGTGATACTAAATATTCCATCAGCCTCATACCAGCTGACAGAGACAACTGATGAAGGCGAGAAAACCTTTTCTGCATGGTTAAAACCATCCTAGTTTGCTCAAGCTGCCCTGCTTGCTTATGCTCTGGGACAGTTTGTAATACGCCTCCTCTGCTTTCCTCCCCGTTCCACTCTTATCTGAAAAAATCAAAGTTGTCCAGGGAGCAGCCACATGCTTATGCTGCTGAAGACAACACTGCAGAAGAGTAATTTTACAGCCTCTTTGCACTAGATACAGTAGATCTAGAGGTTGTAGATACACTACAACCTCTCATATGCTGCACATGAGACTGATTTGGTCGCATCTTAGGTACTTCGCAGTAGAGCTCTTTATAATGCAACTGTCATGGCCTCTTCTGCTTTGTGCATCAGACTGACCAGCTGCATCTGATCTGTCATCGGATCAGACCACCTGGCACACTGCTTCACGCACACAAAAGGAGGCTGCAATGCTGAGCATAGAGCCCTGTTAGCACATGCCCCAAAGAGCCCCATTAGAAGGCCTACTTTCTTGAAACGCAGCCAAACACGTGACAGAAGCTCGGTGCACGCATGCGTGAGTGTGTAGGTAATTCCCACACATCTCATGTAACCTCATATAGATTCTCTTGCATTCCAGGATAAAGAATTTTGTTCCTGAATATACAGTGTACTGGAAACTTTTAAAAATATAAAAGTAATTACAAAACATTTATATCATGTAAAACTAAACTAAGAAATTGTTCAATAACTCTCGCCAACCTTTTATGAAGAAACAACAGTACTCAGTCTTCATTTTATACATTTTAAAAAGTTCCTTTGTAACAACACCGATCAGCACATTCTCTCTCTTCGCTACTTTCAAGATCTTGAGATGTGACTCCTTGTTGGCCATACCTCTCTAATACATGCTCTATGCAAGCATACTGCTTTGAAGCTTCCATTCAAACCTGGCGTTTGTTTAACTACATAGCACCATTTAAGATAATGATTACATTCAGTTAAACTACATCCTGCCTGCATCCAGACGAACTGAGCATGGTTCTATATATTTCATACAAGAGGAAAATCCTGCAACATTCCCGTGGGTTTGACAAACTACAATGTAGCAAGCTGACCATACAAAAAAAGGAGAAAGTGTCCTTCATATTGAAATAATATTTGAATTTTGATATTTTTAACATCCGGTATTAAGAGTTTTTCTCTTATTTTTAAATTTGATCACAAGTAAGAGCAACAACGCAATCTCATGCTGAATTGTACAAATAATTCCTACTGGAATAATCCACATTTTCTTACCTCAATGGTAAAACATGAAATGTAAAACTAGTATTTTACTGAACTGTTAAAAAAAAAAAAAAGCAAATAATTTCCTCCCACTTATGTGGTTTAAAATACTTCAGACTGATACGCCATAAAGATGTAACAATGACTCCAGCTGATCACTCTTAGAAATAAGTATATAGACAGACAGAGATATAAAAAGCTCTGTTGCATCACAAGTAACAATTATATTTCAGATAATCAGAGCACCTTCATCATCAGATTGCTAAAGAAAGATTATTGAGGAAGTTCATAACTGCTGAAAACAAAATTAAACCACTAACTCTTTGGCAACATCAGTATACTAACTAGTTAAATGGACCAGCTGCCTACATGCTGAAAAATAGTTAACGGGTATTAAACCTGATATGGAATTTTGGTTCCTTGCTCTCCATCAATGCTGAGATGATAATTAAAGTCTACTGCTCATGATGTTAAGCAGTGTTGCCACTATATTTGCTGTACGTGGCCTCGCTCAGCCAACAAAATACATACCTGAAAATAGAGATGCAGGTTTAAGATCTGGTAATACAGAATACGAAACATAACATACTGAGGAAATCAAAGGAATTATTGCAAAAATCTAACCTTTACATAAGAGTTCACTGAAAAAAGAGCTCTTAACAGATTTGACTACAAATCCATTATCGTTATCTGCATTACAAAAGGACCTAGAATCTCCAAATGAGATCAGGAGCATACTGTTTTAAACACTACATAAACATATAAAAAGGCCATACTGACAAGCTAGACTAAGTGAGATTAAAGTTACTGCTGGTAGTCTTTCCCATTCTTTGTCTGGGGACATTGGGCTAAAAAAGATGATTGAGAACATTAGGCTTTCACATATGGCCACTTTTAGTCAGACGCTTGGGCAGCACGTGTGCATTACTCTCTTGCTCTTCCATCCTCAGACTCACTGCACCATTTCATTCCTCCATTTAAAAACATACAATCTCATACTCTTGGACAATTACAGACTCCATGGAGTCAGCCCATTGGAAAGCTGCTCAGATAATCTTCCTCCTCCCCATTTTATGAATTGTATGAATTTAAACAGTTCATACATGTAAAAGAAAGCTGCATTGGTCCTTTATTTTCTTGCGTCCAAGAGACTAATTTCTTCTCAATAATATTCTGGGCTTTCTGGTTTGAGTTCAAATAACCTGAAATAACACTGAAGTGAATAAGAATAAGGCAAAATGAGAAAAGAAAAAAAAAATTGTTGTTTTTTATAGCTGACTTTTTGTGTGAGTAGGTGTAGCTGCACCAATATAGAAAGGCGTACTCAATGTCAAGCTATAAATAGCTCCTGCTGAGAGCATAATAGCTCTGCCTCTGCTTTCACAGAGCGCAGGCAATAAACTATCACTATTACATTTTAACAGTTCGGAAGCAAACACATTTAAACAAAAAAGGTTTCTATTTCTACAGCAAATCCAATAAAAGAAACATATTTATGCCATATATAAGGCTGTGTTTATGGAGCATATTCACACTTGAAATAAAAAGACCTGAAGTTGTGAAAATGTAATGTTTCATTCACGTTAGAATCCTATTTCCAAGAAAATTATATAATCTGAAATATAAAGCTATTAATACATTGTATTTATTAAAGAATTATTATTTATGACTTGGGTAGTATTTATACTGTCTATTATGTATTTGCATCCAGTATAAATCTAACAATCAAAATCAGCTGTGCAGAAGATGCAATAAATTCACCTGAGATTCTTCAGAGGTAAAAGAAAAAAAAAGATAATTAAAATAAAAAATAAAAAAAAGATACAAACTATGCACGGCAGTAAACACAATGTTAAAAAATTGGTTCCACTAGCAGCAACACTGATGACTACTTTCAGTGTTTCACAAGTCATGTCTTCACATGTTAATTGTGCAGAACGCTTTTTTTTAGCCTTTGTAAAGCAACTAAGCTGTTTTTCTATATTCTAGCTACTCCCATAGAAACCCAATTCCAGCACAGAGTTCCTGGATGCCTGTATAAGCAGCTAGAAACAAGTCATAGCATCCGGCACTATTGTCCTGACAGATAATCAGAGGCACCAGCAAGCTGTCAGCAGGCAACAACTGGAATGTATTTCCTAAGTAAAATAATGAAACAGATCATGTATGAGTTAAAGCTATTAAGTTATGGCACTTAATCCACAGCTGCTTCTTACCTAAAGCTCTCTACAAAAAGAATACTCTAAGTTAAAATATACAGCTAGCAAAATCAGGCCTCTTAATGTAAGAAAAATATCAGAAAAATATCGGCAACTCAAGATGCACCGGTTGCAGCCCTGGGCCAACCTGAATGTTTGTGCAATGCAGTCTGCGAGAGGGAGGGAAGAAACCTAGATCTGTCTCTCGATGAACACCTTAAAAGACAGTATCCTTCTCTCTCTGTAGCCATGTACGTGACTTAACCAGAAGCTGTGATTGGATCTCCAGAGAAAGCAGTACGTGAACATATATTTAAATACTGTCATAGTAACAAGGCACAACAGGGCCAAATGAAGTAGCACAGAAATCCCCAAGCTAGCTCTGAACGTGCTGGACATCCGCTTAGCACAGTCCACGCTTTGGTCCTGCAAGCAGTGTGACCACAGCACTTAGTTTCCACTTCTTAGATTAAGCCTCTCTGGGCACAACTCTGCTGTATTAACTCATACGGAAAAACAATACATATGAGCACTGTAGAAGACAGTACAGAAATTTAGTTTAATTTTCTGGCTGGGAATTCAACATGTAAACCATGCTTCATGAACACCATTTGGCCAACAAGTGATTACATCATACTAGTTTTCCAGATTAAAAGGTGTGAGCTCAGAAGAAATTCCACAGCTTTCCAGACAGAAACTGGATTTACAACACAAAAGAGGTTCACAACAGGAAGACTTTGTTAACTGATGACTTCAAGAAAGTGCTGCTTACCTTTCTCTCTTTCAGTAACTGCTTGTAGCCACTAGTACCTAGAGAGAGAAGTGTAATGAGGACATCTAAAGAAGGAGATGCAGATGCTCTTCCTGAAAAAACAGTAGATAGATTAAATTCACAAAAAAAATTGTATGAAAGAAGTCTAACAATCAAGTTATTTACAGTTATTTTGTATGCATGTACAAAATCAGTCTGAACTATTTACCTGGGTACATTTTGCTGATCTCCTGAATAAAGGAATCACTGAAGCCAGCAATGATAGCACCACCTACTGGAACCATAAAATTTTTGTCCAAGCTCTGAACAAAAGCATCTATTCTGCCTACTCGAGCACCCTTTACCAAAAAAAGGGAACAAAACCCACAGCATACATTAAGGAAAAAGCATTTGATAGTATCATAATTACACAGTCATGTAAGTGAAATAAATTTCATTTCTAAAACACACTCAAATATTGTATTGTAATGAAAAACTAAACATTGTAGCATTATCTTTTCTCAGCGTTGCTAGTTAATACCATTATTACTGTTTGTTGTCTGCCTACATAATGCCCTACAAATTCCTGTTTTGCTGTGATTCAATATATCGATTTTAGTTCTTGCAAATCTATAGACCCTTTTTTTTTAATGCACATGGAATTTAATGGTAATTATACAGTTAAAACTTCACAATCCAAAATTTTTCATAGATTCTTACAGTAAAAGGGCTTCATCAGGAAAGAGAAAGATTTATCTTGGTACATATATATAATCTGCATTAAAACAAGTGGGCTGTGATAGAACTCCTTCATATGAGGCTGTTTGCAGTATGAAGATCCAGATGATTTCCCCACAGCGGATTTCCCCATTTCCCAGAAAACAAAATATCATTATATCTAATTCCATCAGATATTCTCAAAGGAATAAACGTAAATTCTGCAATATAGCTTTCATTTGACCAATATGCCGCTGTGAACTGAGCAATTAAGTACGCAGCATAACAGAACCTGGAGAGTACATTCAAGTACATCGCTACTACATTTTAAAACCAAGAAATAGAAATAGAGCTATTACCTTAGCAAAAACAATGAAGAAAAAGCAGATCTAACTAAAACATAGTTATTATTTCTATGTTTAAATAGCTTATTGAGTGAGAGAAGGGAAGAAGCACTGAAGCACTCAGGAGTTTGTTGGCGTTTTGGTGGGAAGATGAATGCCAGCAGCTATCATTTGATTTAGTGAGAAGAGAACAGAGGAAAAATGAAAAGGTCTCAAAAGCTCCTTCCTGTTACACTCTTGCAAATTCTGTTCGTGCTGTGCTTATGCCCATATTCCTGACTATTCATTAATAACTATTTCCTCATAGAGGGTACGTTTCCTATTGGAGGAAATACCTTCTAAAAATGAATGTGAAACAAATCATTAGCTCCAATGTATAAATTCCCATAGCCAAAAACCAAAATAGGAAAACGCAAACCACCTGTCAAAGAAGCCAGGGGAATAAAAAAAAAATCACACACAAAACCCAATACACTAACAAATCTATTTGTAGCTTTGTAGTTTGGAAAGACTATCATTAGATGTGATATATATATGATAAAACTCAGCAGTTTCACAGCCCATTCATGCTAGAATTTCACTAACCTTGGAGGTAAATACAGTAAGTCTGCACCAAGCACATGACAAATACAGCATATACAATTTTCTATTCCACATAACATTTCTAGTTTTCTCAAATTCCTACAATCTCAAGATTGTACAGAAACTGTAACATCACATTCCTGTGGTAATTTTATTCTAATCAAAAATATAGTATGTTATTAAATGGGTATAGACCATCTTGATATATAATTACCAGCATGCTTTAAATCCATAATAGTACAGAAACTCACGGATCCTATTAAAAAAAAAATTCCCCTTTTTTTTTGATATGGGCAACAGAGAGAAAAGAGAAATGCTGAAGAAACAGCACAAACAGACTGCAGTGAGCAAAAATGCAAGAACGGTAAGAGTTTCATGGCTGATCTTACTTGTTAAGCAGTCTCCTTTTCAAACTAAAAAAGTAACAGAAATGAAACTTTTTTGAACAAAACACTGAAGGTAACCCAGTATCCTCCGCTATTCTCTTTGGCAACAACATCTGTAACAGTGACAATGCCTATATAGTGTTGCTGCACAATCTTGTTCCTCAAAGGAGAATCTGTAACTCGCATTCTGATGAAGACTAAACCCCCCATGCAATTATGGCACCTTTTTGCATTGCATTCATACATTTACGAAACATTTTTAAAAAGCTTATGAAAGATATCTTTGCATTATGAAAGATACTTTAAAGGAAATGAAAGCTAAAAAACTTGTTTTAGTACATAAAGATAACATATTTAATATTATTTGGTTTTTGAAGTTCTGTCGCCCTCTGCTCCATGTTCTTAAAGATCAGATGTGCATGGGATTAGTCTCAAAGCAGTGAAACAGCTGATAAAATATACTAGTGTTGTCTAGAATAAGAGATTTACTCATACTTTTTAAATTTTATTGTTTGAAATACATGTCTCCTACCTGCTGGATAAGATGCATACACTTTGAAGACTGAACTCCGTATGCATTGTTGACAATATGGGGAATGTCATAATTAGCACAAATCACAGCCAGTTCCTCCAGTCTATGAACATAAAGTTATAACTTAGAGAAATATTTATAATCATAAGTTATGTTACAAATCAGAGCATTACAAGACTAAAAGGTCTACAAGAAGGTCAGAATGAGAAAAGAAACTTCTCTGATTAGTACATTATGGTAGCAGTGGTCACCTTAAGCTATCAAGTTTAAGAGAATTCTACTAACTCTTATATATACTAAAAATGGTTGACCAGGGCTGAAATTTTCATGCTTTGCTAAACATTTCGTCTAGAACACACAGCAAACAAATCCCAAATCATTTTGCTTTGAATATAAACTTTTTTCCCATACTACTCTAATGATTAACAGTTTCAAGTATTTCCATTTTTTTCCTTCTCTTATTTTAATATTCAACCTGAAAATGCACTCCCCTCCTTTGTCACCTCCTGAGACTCAAAGGAGCAATAAGCTAGCTTCTGCCAAGTACTAAGAACAGAAAGGGCTCCTGACTTTTTCCTTAAAACTATTCCATTGAGTAAGTAGATCCATGTTACAATACAGGATCACGCTGGTAAAAGTTGAAAGAGATTATGAGATCACGCAAGAGAAGCAAACAATTAAGCGCACCACTTGTCTGCTTCCATGGATTGTATTTAAATATTAAAAAAAACAGCTACTCATTTCAGAAAAATAAAGTATTAATATAAGCTTGTCTACTGCTCAAATTCCTCAAAGTCCTGAACAGAACTTAAAGAAATATTTTCCAATTCTTTCTTGTTTTCCTCTCTTGCTTGTAAAAGTTCACAAAGAAAACTTTGCTCTTTTTTTTCTATAAAAAAGTAACAATATATAGAGTTCTATTAAGTAAACAAAATAAATACAATCAAAACAGACTTTTTTCCTTTAAGTGAATATAGTAGCTTTAGGGGTAACTCACAGCAACAGCAGGTAAAAGAGAAGTGGTTAGAGAAGTGGTTAGAGAAGTGGTGTTTCTCTAAGGAAGAGGATTTATACAATAGTGTCTTGTTCCAATAAAGATAAGTAATATTTTAAAGGAAAGCTATAGCTACACAGCCATAAATCTCCTCTGGTCTTTTAACAATCCTAAGCTCCCTAAAATTAAAAAAAGAAAAAAAAAATCGTAACTGAAGTCTTAAAAATGTAGAAATGTTTAAAACAGTCATATAAAATGGTACTCTCCAGAAACACTGTATGCGATTTACCTCCCTACAGGAACATGAACATTAAGGCCTTCAATGGGTAAATAGTTTAAATAGAAAGTGCACTCAAATCCTCCTGTATCTGCAGTATACCCTAACACAGTATCACTACCTAATATTTCAGTTCTTAGTTGCAGAGGACAAAATAATTGCGTGGCAAAAAGAAGAGGCTGATAAAGAAAAGATTCATTTATCCTAGCTAACAAATAAACTATTCAATTTTGATAGCTTTGAATTAAGTCAGCTAATAGATGTGCAACTCAACTTCAAGTAGTGTTCATAGTATTCTGACAGATACTATGTTTTTACTTTCCCTCTGGCAACAGTTAACTAATGTTAAATACTGTTTTTTTTTTTTTAAAGGCAAGAAAACAGAAGGAAACATTTTTACTCATTATGTTTCAGATTCAATAATGTTTCTTTTCTATACCTGCAAAGGTTCAACTACATTTTCCAGATAACAAAGTAATTAACAAAAAATGTACTGGAGAGGAACTTTAAACATAAGTCTTTTAAAATTTGTGATAAATTCAAAAAAAAAAAGCAATATTCATTTTGGAAAACTAACTCAACATAACCAAGTACTTCAGCTACCCCTACTTCAACATGTCATTTTCAGTTTGAAAGGTTTTTCCAATAGTTCATAACCGAGCTACATAGTAATTAATATCTCAAATACTCTATTTCCCGTTAATGACTGTATTGCTCATCTCTGTTTCAGCTAGTGCTTGAAAGTCATCTTTGTAGCTACTACAGAAGTTACGTACATGGACACATAATATTAGGAAAGAATGCAATTTATTTTAAGCTTCTCTTAATGGTGTTTTAACAGCTGGAAATTATAAGAAGTAGGATCATGCAATCAGGCAGCAAATGTTCAAAGCAAGATAAGTTACACCAGGGCAAATTATCTCTTATACTTGTACAGCACATCTGCCTTAAACACTTCCAAGAGTTTATTTATAACAGTATATCTTAATTAGCACTAAGAATATCAGCATAATACAGGAAAAGGGTAACTCTAAAAGAGACTTTTATTGGCTGCAGCATTTTGAACTGGTTTAATGCATAGCCTAGCATTAAAAAGAACAAGAAAAAGTCATCAGTGGGCTAAAGGAGAAAAGCAGAAAAGACAACAGTAATATCAAGTTGTAGCATTAATTGTATAACTATATTTTTTGAATTATGTTTCTGTGAAAACTTACTTTTACTATTTCTGAAAATTACAAGACAAACCACTGCAACCGTTAGCATTCATTTCACCCCAGGAGTGCAATAGTAATCTCTCAGTCATATAGCAGAAGATAGACCTTCTATATTACTCCCACTTTTACCTTCTGTATTATTCTCAATTTTCTAATATACCTTTCTACAAGTGAAATATCATTTCAACCTACCATTTCCCTTAAACTAGGGGATAAATGTCTCTTTGCTCTACGAATTGTTGGCAGTAATTAAGCAATTTTAGGGAGATGGACCTAAAACATGCAGGTTTTTTACAATGGCAAGAACTAGCATACTTCTTATGAAGACTACTTACCTATCAGGTACCCTTGGAGCAAAGCAAGAGGTTGTAGAATGAACACAGAGAATATTTTCAGCACCAAGAGCTTTGATTTTAGCCTCCACTGCTTTGACGTCTGTCCGTAGCTCATCACCTTCCAACACATTTTCTATCACCACAGGTTCAAAGCCTAACCAACAAAAACAAGACCCAAAAGCATATCACGCAGTAATCTCAAATCTCGGACTAACTGTGGGTTTTTTGGTTTCAATATAAACTTGAAAAACCAATCAGCTTCATAATCATCAGGTTCTGTTAAAAAAAAAAAAAAAAAAAAAAAGCCGCAGATGTGACAATGTCTACCATGATCATTTCATGGTGAATTGGCTTTTATCACAAGTCTCTCATTTCAAATTACTTCTTCTAAAATAAAACTGCCTATATTTGACCTCATTTTGAAAGTGAAACTTTTCATATATAAAAAAAATCCTTGGATTTTACATTTCCAGAAGTCTATTTAAAGATGTACAATAGTTGAAGCTCATAGGGTTATTTTTCACGGATATATATGAAAAAATTTGGAAAAAAACCAGCAGGGGGTTATCCCCTTTTTCTAAATGCTGGTGAAGGCACATCCGGAATTTGGCTCCAGTTTTGGAACCTGCAGCTCAACAGGGATGTTGAGACACTGGAGAGGGTCCATAAAGGGCCACCAAGATGACTGGGGGTATAGCGAACCCAGCCACAACTTAGAGAGGCTGAACTTGTTCAACCTGAAGAGGCTAAAAGGAAGATCTAGTAGAGCCCACAACCACCTGAAGAGGAATTACAAATATGAAGAGGCAAATCTTATTGGTAGGATATAATAAGAGGCAACTTCCACAAAATTTGGCTTGAGAGGTCCAAACTGGAGAGTAAGAAAACTTTTTTCATTAGAAGGACAGTGCAGCACTGGAACAAGCTAGCCAGAGAGGTTGTGGAATCTCCGTCCTCAAAAGATTTTCAAGATTCAGCTAAACAAAATCATGGCTGACCTGTTCTAGGGCTGGTGACATGCCTCACTTCAAATGAGAGCTTGGACAAGAGACTTCCAGAGATCCCTTCTAACCAACACTTCTGCAATTCTGTGAGTTTTTAAATGAATCTAATTTATCAGCCAATAACGGCAGATCTTTCTAATGAAAGTAATTTGGCAAATAAATTTTCATATATTTAGCCCTCAGACTTCAGCTATCAGACACTAAGGAACAGGAAAAGCCCTACAATTGTGTGCACCTTCCTTGATTTTTTTAGTGACACTCAGTATACGAAATAAATTACATTACTTCAGCAACTGTTCTGAAACAGAGCAAGAATTAAAACAATTTTCTTCATATGGCAGGAAGGCATGGGATATCTCTGCGTAAGACCGCTTATTTGCATGAGTTCTGTACTGTGTTTTTGTTAGTCTCCTATTAACATTTTCACATATCCCATATTCCCTGCTCCGAATTGTTGCAGAAAAGAATTTTCATGTAAAAACTTGTCCACTCCTGCTTCTTGTGTAATGACTCAGAATTTTACTACTGATTTCTTAAACACCAGAGTGGAGCCTATTATGGTAGTTGCTCAAATTTCCAGTTTCTTAAAATAAAAAACAAAAATCATAAAACCATATATTCCCTTCCTCAAACAGATGTGGCTTGGCAGCATCATCATATTAGTTGAACTGATTTTTACTTTCTGAAAAATCTGAGAGATGCTTAATTTACTGAATGAAAGTAAAGGGGAAGGAGGAGGAAGGGATAGATGAATGATTTATTGATGTTGTTAGCCTAGACCAGTTTTTGACTAGTGATCTACAAGTAAGAGATTGCTTTTGATAACTGTTAGACATCTGACACCTGCTTCTCTCCTTCTTAGCTGATAATTCTTCAATTAATTTTGTAATAGCTATCTTATTAAAGAACTCAAAAATTTTAACACACCAATTATATTTCCTCATAACTTTCTCTATTATAAATCTAGTTTTCCTAACGTGCTGTTTTAAACTGAGCATAACATTCTGAAAACACTTCACCTTTCTTATATACACGGTCTGTATCTTCTGATCTGAGTCCTTTCAAACACATCTGCATGTTATCTGGACAGAACCAAGGCCCTGCTTCCAGCCTTTTAGTCATTTGTATCTAACAAGTCTTTCATACAAAAAATAAAAGTTTGCTGGGAACTAGGACCAGAATCTATGCCACACTTCACCCAGGGTAACTGCACTGAGCTGGAGAATTACGGTCTCCCTTCCTTGCCCTTTCTCTGATCTCATCAATCTTTCTGCAGGAGAGGAGAGCTTGAGTGTGAGAAGAGACTTCTACCCATATCTTATAGTCTGGTGGACAAAGAATTCCATCTGAGAGAAATTAACGTTTAAACATCCCGTAACTAAAAAGACACCAAATTCATTTCTTGAGTGAGCACTGCCACTACAGATGGACAGCTTGTCACCTCTTGATCCTAGCCCCCAGGACACCTTTGTTTTTTGCACAAATCTAAGAGAGATTTGAGCCATGAACCCAATTTAAAAAAAAAAAATTCTCAGATGGTAATTGTGCATCCAGTTCTATGAGTGTACCGGAACCTCCTCACTATTATCTTCCCTGTTGACTACTTCACGCACCTCGCTAACTCTGCATACTCCCTAAAGGAATTCTGTTCCTTCAGGATTCCTGTGCATTTTATAAGGAATTAAGATGGTAACCACATCTGTGATTCAAGGTTAGAAATCAAGTGCATAGAAGTAAAGCACTTAGAATTACTATGCATCAGGTCTCTTCTGGATCTCACTGCATGCATGTGCATTCAGGATGACTCTGATAGCTGTAGTTTTAAATTTGTTAGAATAGCGCGCTCCATAACCAGTCAACTCCCTCTTACCTGCAGTAATCATAGATTTAAAGCAAGATTTTTGGTCTATACGTGGCCAAATAATGTATTTTGCCTTTGGTCTCTTGTGCCGCAGCGTTAAAAAACACAGAGTTAGACTCATTCCAGTTGCCATAGGAACCACAAAGCAATTGGTCACTGTCCGGACACCTGCACATAGGAAGCAAATCCGAAATTAACTGAAGAGCACGTGGTACGCCCCCTGCAAAAGAGAAATGCTTTTAGCATTACACCTACCAGCCAGCTTTATAATATCCAGAACTACCGAATTAGTAAGTTTGTTCAAAAGGCTAGACCCTGCAGCTTTAGGCTGGACAGCCGAAATATCACCTGACCTTCCAATTCCATGGATCAACCTAAACAGAAAAAGTTGAAAACATCCATCAAGATTTTTCATGTCCCAAAGCAATACCTCTTCTCTTCCTGATTGAAGAGAATTTAGTTTGATACACAGTTATGGAAAATGCTATATCCAATGCGACCTCAAAATTTGCCATGAGTCCCACTATAACAGATTACATGTATTAGCATGAAACTTTTTTTTTGAAAAGAGTAGATTAACAACGCTCCATTAAGCAAATAAAAACTGAGAAGGCTCACAGTAGCAAGGCCTCTGGCATCTGGCAGGCTTGCTTTCAGGGAGACTTTGAAACTCTAGCTCTTCTTGATGTCCATTGAATTAGCGTTATAAATGATGCCACATTTGTACACACAACTCCAAAGAAAACAAAAATCAGTTGCCTACAGTGCAGTGCACACACGGGGTATTGGAGACAGTCCTCTGACAAATGCTTCACCCTCACAGGGCAATGAAACGTTCACATATAACGTAACAAAATGTCCTGAAAAACCTTTAGGTTAATGTATCACCTTGCCCATCTTTTTCTACATCTTCACTGCATCTACCTTGTTCTACTATTCAGAATTATGTATTGCACAATACTACCTCTCTCTGCATTCTACATTTAGAAACTACAATTACAAATGTTGGATATTATTTAGTGCCTTTCGGGATTGAAGAATTGTATAATCCTTTATAAAATATAAACTTGGAGAAATAACTTTACCATTGCTGAAATGCAGCAGCTGCTCAACTACGCTAGTAACAACACACGTCTATTTATGGCTTTAATTTCATTTTTGTTTTGGGAACAGAGTGAAATGCAGCCTGATGAATGGATGGAATTCAAAACTTCTAGGAGCAGTTTTACAGTTTAATTGCTTTTCTCACATTTCAAAATAATTACAACAATAGATTGATAATTAATTGAAACTTGCACCTAATTCTTACTCTTCACTTCCCTTGTTCCTTCTGCTACGTGCTTAATAGCCACCCTATACTACTACTTTTTCTTTTCTACATACACATACTCCTTTCTAAGGAATCCTCCTCCCTAAGACTGGTCCCTGGCACCTACAAAGCTGAAAGGAAAGAATGCCTGAGAACCACCTCCTGGTATTCCAAACTCCCAAATTCACCTGTAAAACTTGCTGCACAAGTAAACGGAGTGACAGAAAGCCCCTTAGAAAGCCCTGCCTTGCTATTGCTGACACTCATACGAAGGTGAGATGTCAGCTGAGCTGTCCCAGAGCGGCAGTAGCTAAATGATAGTCCAGGCTCTCTCTGCCAAGAAATTGGACGCGACTTATCTGGTGCTGTCAGAAAGCAACACTTACTCAGCTACTCTCCTCAGTGTGACCCCTACCGCCCTTACCACACATAGCTCAGTCAGACTGCAAAGCAGTATACAAAATGAGAAAGCCAAACTTGTGTATTAGTGAATTTCTTCATTAATTTTTCATGGTACTGTGAGGCTTTTGAAAGCTGATAAGCCTAAAGTAATTCAGCTTCCATACGACAAAGCTTACTAAAATTCTGGTCTCTGATATGTTTTGGTGCAAATATTTTCCTGGACTGTCTCTCCTTGAATTTTACTTTGTTTCATTCAGTACAGAACACTGTTGCAACCCGCCCCGCGCCCCCCCCCCCTAAAATCTTAATAAACAAATTCATTCAGATCCTCCAGAATTTTAGCATCCAAAGTATCCATCAAGCATCAGAAGAGCCTCAAGCTATTAAAATCTTGTCTTTATAGGTCTGCATACCTCAAAAGAAGTCAATTCCAGTGGACTGTATTTATACGGACATCAACTAACCACCATCAGAAAAATATTAAAGAATGTAACAATCAAATACAAAGAGCTGTTCACTAGAGCTGCCAGTATGTTACAACTACAATATTTAATAGTTTTGAATAGTATACAGATGCTGAGCTGTACATGGTTAAAAGGCAAGTAATGCATAGATTATTTTAAAACAGGGAGATCTTTGCTTCTATTGCAGGCAATCAACTCAAGATGTTACACTTCTACCAGCTGACTATACAGGAGATAATCTTGACAAAAGATTTTTGTTACATTCAAGACTTCCCAATGAGTTATTAATGAAAATTCAATACAGAAAGTTGTATCAATTCAACATTGCATTACATGGTTTCTCAAATGCTGCCAAAGTTTCAGCTAACATGATGTAATAAAATAAGCACTTTGGAAACATTAATAATAAAACACAATAATTCAAACTGCCAATAATTTGTACCTGTAATGCCTTCGGGCAACCAGTCCTGACGCCACTCTTCCTTCCCGCTCACCCACACCACAGTTGCCCAGAAAGTTGTTGCTATCCATTATAGCAAGTTCATGAAGAAACAGTTCAATGGTACTCTCATCCCATCCATCTTCAGGACACTTCCCCTTAACAACAACAACAACAACAACAATAATATAAAGCTAATTCCTAAACCTGGACAATTAAAAATTAACACATCTTTGTATAACCCGCTTTATTAACATTCCCCTTCTTTTCTGTACTGAACACTATTTGTATAGTATTTTGACACCATTTCCCACTTTTTATTATCCAATGCTATGATGCTGTATTAAGAGAAAAGTTAAACAATAAATTTTGCATATATTCAATGTAATTACATTAGCATATCCTGATATTAAAATAGAATATTTTTCACTTTCAGGTACTCTTTAAGGTACACACAAAACCCCCGCAGCACATACTAGTTAATTGCTCTCTAGAAGAATGTAGGTTATTTGATGTATACTTGAACATCTAACACTACAGGTCTACAACTGAGAAAGCTGGAGAAAAGGGAGATAATTGGAATATTAAAGAACTGAATCCATTAATTGATGAACAGAAGTGAAATACCATTTCAGTTATAACATACCTTCCTATATATTTTTTTTTCTAGTTATTGCCTAAAGCCTAAGGAAACCACCTACAGAGACTAGTCTATCAAAGTCTGCAACCAGATACACATTTGTGCACTCATCTCTTTCTGTCCGGTGTTCAAAACTGCACTCATCTTTGCAAATTGCAGAAGTGATCCTCAGAGGAGAGGTGCTCTAAACCCATAAAGCATTGCTATGGCACTTCAAAGGTTCAGAGGTTTTTTACTTGTAACAATAGGAGCAAAAATCATTCAAACAGTAGATGAGGTGACTAAGGAAGACAGCTGAGAACAGAAACATTAAGAACTCGTTGATAATGATTTCAGGATGTCTGAGACGAAAAAATACTTTGCTGTGCCACTTCACAAGTACCACTTATTTCCTGTCTCATGTAAGAGCAGCAATATACCATCCCGAAAAATTCCTTTAGCTATGTGCAGAGCTTTCCCCAACAAGCCTAAGGAAACCATTTTTTCCCCGACTGTGGCCTTTCGTTTTAAGGGCTCTGTAGGTCTCAGCCATTATGGCAGAGCAAGCCAACCCTCCCAAGCTCCCCGGGCCATCACCCAGCACGTGCCCGTGGGTCGTGAGGGCCCTGCCAACCGGCACAGCGGACGAAAGAGGGCCAGAAAGCAAGCCATGGGCTGATGGGCTGGGAAGCGCCGGGGCAGAAGGGGCGAAGCGCTCGCAGGGCCTGGCAGGGCCT